AAACAAAGCACCTCCTCTTCTGGAGCACAATCGAATGAGACTTACCCCGAATGCCCACGGCCAATTCAAGGATAACATCTACTACCTCCTAACACGCGGAGAGCCAATCTCTCAAAATCAGGAACCAGGGACTTCATAACACGGCAAGCAAGACCACTCACATCCGGAAGCGACGACGACGTTGATACGCCAAAGTACGTCAAACTAGAAGTCTTCAAAACGCAAGGAGCGAAGCTTAACTCCTCAAACCACCAATCACATAAACGAAATCGGCGAATAGTGAGAAAGCTAACATCCACAGAGAACGACAACAAGAAGAGGGAACTCGGCAAACTTCAGATTTTCTATCATCACATTCAAACAAAACGAAACCTCTCTTTAGAAGGAAAACGAATCCAAAGGAAATCCACAGCTGAGACGAGGAGACAGCATGAAACTTGGAGGCTTAGACACAACGATAAGCACATGAACATCAACAAAATCATAACCAGCTCAAGTATAGACAAAGAGTATAACCAATGAGCCCAACCCGTCGATCAAACTGATCCGGAATCCTCCCATTCTCTGTAAATACAAGATCCAGCTCAAATGAGCGCTCCAACAACACCACCAACACAAGCCAACAACACTTGAATCAAGACAAAGGACTTCCCAAATGAAAGCTACTACCGCTGAACTCGAAACTACCAAGGAACAAATTAAGCAACCACTATACATAACCAACTAAAAGAAAGCCATCTGACTCTAACAAATTAAGCAACCACTATTCTTAGGATGTTCTTCTGTTTAGCTTTTTTTTTTAATTGTATTCTTTAAACTAACCCATAAAAATTATTTAACCAGAACAGAACTCGTGGTTGGGCTTCTTCGACAAAGCAATGCAAGAAACCTCATGTGAGCATAGAAAGTTGAAAAGTCAAATACTATTTGGGGTCAGAATCAGAACAGTACACAAAATTAATTATTATTTTAGGTTTTAAGAGAATGTCCAAATCCCGACAGTGTGCACGAGGGGTTTAGTTGGATCCAACTTGGCCTCTTTATTGCCTCATTAAATGATACGTGGACTACACATTAGTATTTTCTTAACATTGAAATTGTGTATCAATTGCTATCCTTTACTACTAATACAATAATTAAGCTTCCGTTGCGATTTACAAATTGTTTAGTTTAACCCCTGAAAACGTGTCTCTTCAGCTTCCACAATCAAATTCCGCAAGGCAAAAACAAGACATTAGAGGGACCTTTGTATTATGAAAATAACTTTTTTCTAACACCGAAAGGTTTTATTATTACTATCAATATTTTTATAGATTAAGAAAAATGATTGTTTTTCATAACATCAAAAGGTGGTTAAATCACTAAAACGACTAAAAACGTTGTTCATTCGATATATATTGGCTGGCGCACACTCGCAAACAATAGTTGGACGAATCTAGTGTGAAGATTGAGACATATTCTGATTGTCCACTAGAGACAAAACTAATTATAATACTAGATGTGTAGGCATAATTTAGTTAGGTTCTTACTAAGCAAACTTAATTACTAACTTAATTGCTCGATCGGATTACCACTAATTGAGAACGACATAGCTAGACCGAATTTCAAGCGAGTTTAGTTTGTTAGACGTTTGTTTTTTTTTCCTAACGTTTTAGCGAGTGAAATAAGAGGTTATATTAAAAATGTTTAATTGAAATTGAGTTAAAAAAAAATAGAACCATACTATGAAATAAATAATTTTGAAATATTTGAAAACTACGTACGCCTACTAAATCGGATACGGGATTATTCCATAGATATATGTGATCAAATTTGATATGAAATGAATGCAAGCAATATTTTAGAAGCGATGATCATAAGTGTACTTAGAAAAGCCTCGCTTAAGACTAAACCTACAAGCCAAACAATATATGATGCAGTTTTCAGGGTATTTTGTCCGAAATCCAACTATCACCGACAAAAAAAAAATATCATAATTAACCAAAAAAAAAGAAACACAAAAAAAAGAGTCGATGATTGAAACGAGGGCAAGTCGTGAAATGACCCTTTGTAGTTTGTACCGAGGACTTATGCTGTTGACTATAAAAGGAACCGAAAACTAGACAGAAACATATCAACGGCAGGCAAAAACAAAAACCTCTCTCTTCAGAAACTATCCTGTTCTAATTAAGTTTAAAGAAAGAAACTTACCCAATGGAAACACACAACGTAGAGACATTGACAAACAAGGGAACCGTAGAGTTACTCTACAGGGCGTTGCAACAAGGCGAGGCCTCAAAAGTAGCCAAAGTGGTGGCCAGTGACGTGGAATGGTGGTTCCATGGACCGCACCATTGTCAACACATGATGAGGCTACTCACAGGGGAACCACCGAGCCAGGTTCCATTCAGGTTTAAGCCAAGCAGTGTACAAGTAGTAGTGCCTGGTCATGACTGCGTGATTGCAGAAGGGTGGGAGGGCTCACACGTGTACTGGGTTCACGTGTGGAAGTTGAAAGACGGAGTGGTCACTGAGCTAAGAGAGTATTTCAACACATGGCTCACTGTTACAGACTATAGTCTTGGAGCAATAGGATGGGACATGGGGCGCTGTACGGTTTGGGAGAGCGTACCGAAGGACCTGGGTCGTGGTTCGTTGCCTAACTTGCTGTTAGCTATTTAACCATATATATATATATAGACGTAGACAGTGTGTTGTGGAACGCATGTTGTATATTGTTGGTTCCAAAAATTGGTCTACTCATTATCAGGTTCATCACTTATCATGCTTCAGCAAGTGTAATTGAATTCAGAATAAAATGACTTGAGTTGCCTTGATCCTATATATCACTTGCCCATTGGATTATATAATTGAATTTTGATTTCTATTAATTTGCGACAGTGGGAAAGCACTTAAAGCTTGTATATAAAGGAAAAATGAAATAAAAAATGATGACAACTTACTTGTCTACTTGAGCCACTTCATTTCCAGAACGAGCCCCTGAGGTTCCAAAGTCTGACAGAGAAAAGATAAATTTAGAGAGTTGGGTAAATGAAATGTTACTAGTCAGAAATACTAAGCCAAAAGATTCAGAGACCTGGAATCAAAAACAGTCGTAAGAGTTTTTCCGAGTACTCTCTAATTTCACCAACAGCTACCAAAATAACTAACTGACAACGATATGGAGTGTAGTAAAATTGTAGAGTAGTCGTGTAGGGGATGCGTGTATAAAAAACGCAGGAGCTTGCAATGGACAAACCCTAATCAAGGCTTCGTTATGGGCCTTTGCTGGGCCTCATGAGGAAAAGGGTTGAGTGACTAACTCTGGTTCTACCAAGTTTTTCCACAAAATGATGTGAAGCTTAATTGTAAACCAACAAAGTAAATTATGTGTAAGTATGTGAAAGGTTGATTCGGTTTTCTGCAGTGTGTTGAATAAGATGTATTCAATCGAGTATATTCCAACTTATGCTACCACAAAAAATTTACGCTATTCAATTTGTTTTGTTTTTTTTTTGTTCTTGTTTTTACACTGATGTAGGAGAAAATTTCATCAATAATAACATGATAACATTTGCCAATATTCTATATACATTAAAAAAAAAAAACACAAACTATATAAAATTATAGGCTTTCATGAATAATATATATGTAGATATATAGATACTCTAGTAAATAGGGGAGAACAGCTCCAAAAAAAAAAAAGTATTTTCCAATATAATTAGCAGTACTTAACACTAACTAAGCGTGACAATAGAATAATTACATAAAGTCTGATATGATCTGCGTCACAACAGTGAGTTCGCATATCTGTGTAAGTGCCAGATTTAGTGTGATACATGTCTGCCACCTACTTTCAAAATTAATTTAAAATTAACGTTAACTAATCCAATACTGTATCATTTACTCCATGCTTCAAATCTTCAAACTATTAATTGAAAAAATAAATATTAAGATAATAAACTAAAAAGGGTATTAAGTGTAATAAAGAATGTCACAGAAATAAGCAATTTAGTCATCTTAGGATAGAATAATCAAAACCTAATTTGAAAACAATAACTAACAATTTGATTATTCATTAAAAACATCAATATTTAATAGTTAATCAGATTGAATAAGAAGTACTGGTATCCAGATAACTTATCTTCTAATAATTATTTTCTTGTCTCATTTTGATTTTTTTTGCTATATATCATCATTTTAATTTATAAAACACTAGGTGAAAACGACCCGTATGAATGTATAAAGTAATTTAATTATTTATACGTTAAAAAAATTGTCATTGCTTGTTAAAACTGAAAACTAAGTATTCATGAGTCTAAAGTTTTAAGGAATAGGTATAGCAATATTGCTTTTAACTTTTAACATATATATATATATATATATATTTATATTTTGGTGCAAAAAATATATATTTAAAATATATACATAGATCGTAGAGAGGCCTTAAAATAATTGAACCGACAGTTAAAAGAGTTATGTGCTCGTTGGTGAGATGTCTATTAAATATGTCTGAATGACAACGAGTATTTACATAATTTGTCTTCTATATCTCAAACCAGCTCCATAACCATTAAAATATAAAAATTTAAATTTTATCAATAGATTTTTGTTGTTGTTGTTGTGTTAAACCAAAACTAGAATGGGGATATAAAACAAATTTGTCTAAATCAAGATCACATAGTCATTGATTAGCAGTGTAGTACTAATGAAAGTATCAAATCTGCAATATATTTTAGTAAGAATTATAACAAAGGAAGATATTACTCAGAAAAGTCACCCACTTAGTCTAATCTCCCTTTGAATATTCAATATTGTATCAAAAGCAATCATGCTTAAGGTATATAAGAGGCCTCATAATGTGATTTGTAATCTACTAGTATTATGCAGTGTTTTGGCTCATGAAAATTAAACTAGGTATATATAGTTATTGCCTTAATTATAAGTCAATAATGTGTGTGATGTCAATATATTTTACTATAACCAAAAAAAAAAAAAAGACAAATAGATGTATATTGATGTCAGAAAAAAAAAGATGTAAGAAAATATATAGAATAATAGTAAAAATAATCAAAAAATGGATGTACGATAATTTGAAAGTAGTGTTGTCTTTTGCATTAGAAAAGGGAAAAAACTTTTTGGCGCGACTTCGGTTATGGAATTATGCTTAAGTTGTAAATAAAACATAAATAATGTATTGTATTCCCTCCCACTCACATCTCCATCACGCTTCTCTTTTACAGTGGAATGCCACGTGTCGTTCCCATGATTCAATGAGAAACATCCCTTTACAGTTGGCAGCAATAATAATAACACACAAATCCTGAATATACAAATACAAATTGAATGAATATACAAAAATACGTACTATATATTATAATGGGTATTATTTCATATATATGGTAGATATAATTTAGGGTTGAAAGCCATTTCTGTGCATGTATGACACACGAAATTTCAAATATGCGACATATATAACATATATATGTATATATTCAAGAGGTTCATGCAACTTTAGAAAAAACGAGTCATTGTTGAATTTGTGTGGGTGGATGCTCATAGGCTGTTAAAAGATCTCTCATGATCTCTTTGAAGGGGACTTGTATTTCAGTCACTACATCCCATCTGTGTTTGTCTTTTCCTTTTTACATTTTTCCTTACCCTTGATTAAACGAAAAAAAAGTGTAAAGTGGTGGATTAATCTCGGTCTCATCATGGTCTCTCATAGACTCCTAGCTATATAATTTAGTTGATTTGGACATTGGAATGAGAAACACTGAATTTTCCTTAATTCTATCAAGTCCATAATAATAAAAATAAATCTTAGCCTACCAGGTTTGACAAAAATTAATTAACAAATATTGATAATTATCCAAACCTTATTAGCATTGTAATACTAATTAATAATTATATATCTTATCTATGTAGAAAATAAGGTGAAAAAAAACATACCAAAATTATGTTGGATGATATAATGTGTTGGTACATAATTTTGGTTATCAGGAATCCAATTTCATGATTTCATGCATTGAGGTTTGGCCATTTTTATATTTTGGTATTTCGGGTTGCTTGAACATATTATGGAAACAAAAAAAAAAAGAGTTGACCGGACTTGGGAAACTTATATGAATGGTGAACCTAGCTAGACCTTCAATTCAAATTCCTATATAAAGAGAAAACATTGAAAATTATGGGTAAATAATTAATACGGAAAGATAAATAAGATGTACAAAAAAGAAAAAAACTGTTTGGAAGACAAGAGAAGCATCTCAATGATTTTTCACGAGATAGGACCTAGAATTTAGAAGTGGACTTTGATCGAGACTTTTTAAATAGGGTGTGCAATCTTGAGTCCCACATTGTCGTTCCTACAATATGTATTATTAGAAATTAGAACCGATATATTTTTAGAAATGTCAAAAACATTCTTACTGACTAAACCAAAGTCATCAAAAATATCAAAATAAAAATTAATATTAACAATAACATTCAGTATATATGTTTTATTCATTAGATATTTAATTATAGATTAGCAAACGACGACGTGTGAACAAGAAAAAAAAAAATCAAAATCAAAGTTTTGTTTTTTTTTTTGGTAAAAGAAAAATATATAGAAAGATTAAAATATATGATGTGATCATCATCAAACATACATTTAGGTAAAAAATTTTTTTTAACACTTTGCATTTAGGTACTTTTTTATCTTTACGATTTTAAAGGCAATTTTTATTTTTTTCTCACTATTTCTAAGTAATCTGATATGAAGGCAAAGTATATTTGAGACACACCACATTAGTAGTGTTCTAGTAACTTTCGAGCATTTACCATATCTTTCACATAATAGTGTATTTTCTAGAAGCCGAATTTCATATATCCAAATATATATTTACAATAACATCCAAATATAATATCTACAATAATATATATTTACGAGCTCAAATGGAGACACATGATCATCTCTTCTCTTCCTACAATTTTTTTTACGGATCTGGGATGCTTTAGCTCACAATCTACTTCAGCACCATCACACCTACAACTTCACGGCAGTTCTATCTCTGCTCTCAAACTCCACACTCAAGGGCACTCATGGTTATATTTTCAGACTTTTCTTCCAAGCCACTGTATACTCAATTTGGTTCGAACGTAAGAGATGCATGTATGGTGAGATTCCTAGCTCTAAGAACCAACTAATCAAGTTCATGGACAGGTTGGTTCGTAACAAAATCTCCTCGATCAAACGTCACCATCCTCGCAAGCTTGAAGATGGTTTTCGGGTCTTGTTTGAACTAAGAAGCTAAGTTTTCTAGTTTCAATTTCTCCAACACAAAGTTTATTAAAAATTCAAAACTTGTATGTTTAAGGATGCATATATTGTAACATAGTTTTTTGGTTGAATAAATTTAACATTCATTCAAAAAAAAATTAACATCCATCATATAGTATATTATAAGCTACCAAAAAAAAAAAATCTTTAAAATGGTCCCAACGTAATGCTATACAGTTAGAACGAATTAAATGAATGCAACAAACAATGGTAGCTGAGGATATATAACCCAATAGAATAGTGATCAATGGAAACAATATTAACCAAAATATTATATGTGTATGAGTTTTATATTAACCAATATTTTATTAACCAAAATATACATATACATATATATGAATATATATATATATATATATATATATATAAAGGGGATGAAAAACATATTGTGCACAAAAAGATGGTGATTAGTTAGTAAAAATTGATAAAAGAAAAGGGAATGGATTTGATATAATAATAATTACGACAGCATGATTCTCTCAAGTCCTACCTTAATGTCGAAAAAGAAAAGTCATTGAGCTGTCGGATGGTACTCTTTAATGATTTCACCAGAAATATTTCTCTATAAATAGAGAAAATATTAATCTCTATCTCTATCTTTTTTTTTTTTTGGTGCAAAAATTATAAATCTCCACCTAATTCCAATTTTTACCTCATCTTTAATTATTTTTCAGTGAACTATATCGGCAACAATTAGTTAGTTCAAAACATGTAACTATCAAAAGAAACCTCATATAGTAATTGACATTTACAGAAGAAAAAAATAACATACGGAGGGGCATAATATAATGATATATATAGCTTTTGCAACCTAAATTAAAACATTGGTGCGGTCTTGACATCTTGTGGTCCTCAAGGAAATATTATTATATAAAAAAATTGTATTTATATATATACACACATTAACACTTTCTTTTCATATGAATGTGTATACATACAAACACACACACACACACTTTCTTTCGGGGATTTTGGGTAGCATGTTCATGGGTCAGCATGCTGTCTCCATTATCTTTTTGATGTATATGTATACATAGGTTTTTTATATGAATTTTGGTGATGCTGTTATCTATTAATAAGAATCATAACAAAAGTAAATGGTGACAAATTATCAATTTTGGAACCACGTTTTCGGATATTAATTAAACCTAGCTACGGGATTTGCGTTCTATATAGTTGAAGAGAGATCTAATTTCATGTAGGTATATACAAAAGAAAAATATAGCGTCACACATGACACAACACACGATTTTTTTTTTTTTTATGTTGACAATGTATATACGTACATATACATCATATACTAGCTTTAGCTTACTTGAAAACAAAAACGTATATTTTATGCAGACGAATCATACCCTAAAGTTTAATAAATATTACTGGGTAATTACTAGAACAAATTAAACAATATTTCCATTTGCTATAAAATGAGAAAGCACTTGTAACATTTTTACTCTCTCTCTCTCGCTCTCTCTCTATAATATCTCTCTCTCTCTCTCTCTCCATAATATCTCTCTCTCTCTCTCTCTCGCTCTCTCATCCCGGCCGGCCATAGTTGTTCTGTGGTCGGAGAGATGTATAAAAGTGAATGATCGATGAAGGTGTGTGTTGAGCAAGATGGAGAAGCAGGGCACGTGCATTACTAGCTCATCTCGCTTGCATATATATATATATATACACGACTCTCAGCAAATGTATGCATATATTAATATATATATATAGGGGAATTTTGGTGACGATCGATGAATGAGTTAGTTCTTCATGTGCCCATCTTCCCCATCATGACCACTTCACCTTGATGACGACGACGATTCCAGTGTTAGCTGCAGGTCATATACTGACGCACGTGAGAACATATTTATATCGATAAACACAGACGCGTGTGTTTTTGTGTACGTACGAGCTAGATTGCTTATTTTGCGGAAGTAGATCGAGACCCTGCAAAAAAGTACCTAATTTACGCACGTACCTACCACAAAGGAAGCTTATAAATATGATCAGGTAGGTCTATAATATCTAACAAAGTTTAGTATATATTTAGAAAATTATTGTATATAATATAATCACGCATCGTCTTAATTAGAGGCTCTTTATATAAGTTGTTCAAAATACCATATATATATATATATGTCGTAACTAATGAATATACCTTCGGTTAGCTAGTACAGTATTCGGCTAATTATAATTAAGAAATCATTTAAATGTAAATTTACAGTAAGGTATGTAGCTATTAGCTATATTCTTCTCGGGTATATATGTTGTGTTGTCGTTAATTGATTAACCAATGTTTCATCAAATGATAATATATACAATCAGATATGTAAGCTAATACCACGTACGTACTGTTCTTAAGCTGATTAAATAGGGTAGATTACTTATGGAACTAGTTAATTAATTAGGTCCTCCTATATTTTTCAGTTAATATATACTAAATATATACCCAAACAAGAAACACAATTAATTACTAGGGAGTATAAAGATAAGATTGATTACGTACAGATCGAGTAATAGAAATGAGAGAGAGTAATTTAATTTGGTTAGTGGAGAATTCATGCGTCCATTAAATATAAGATTATGCTAATTGCACTTGCTTGCTAGTTGCTGCTGGTCGGTTAGTTACGCTTCTATGGTTCCAATAACAACCATATATATACTATTGGATAGAATACATATTTATTTTAATGATCTGAATTGAAATTATTGTTTTTTTGGGGATTACATAACTTACTAACACGATTACACACATAGATACACTTTTTTTTTTTTGGGTAGTACATAGATACACTTCTTTGAAGCGTGCGTCATACCAGTTTTTATCTCTCCTTTTTTTTTTCTGGCAAACTAGCTACTTAGCTAGTAGTTCAATTGTTATTTCGTAGTTTTGTGTCAAACAATAGTTTTATAACTACATAATATGATGTTTATGAAATGTATCTATATGCTTGATAAAGGATCTTTTCAGACGTATTATTACAATCTATTTGGGGATTAAATAGCAACGTAATTATTTTGCATTATACATTTTTCGGATGTAAAGAATAACATACATTTATTACCTTTTTAGCAAAGTTGATATCCATACATACATATAACATATGTCTCGATGATTTTCTCATTTTGTATTGTCTTTTAGATAATTGTGCTTTTGTTTTTTCCTTTTCTAGACAGTGGAAAAATTCCTTTCAAAACCAAGTACGTACTGTATATATTTATTCTAAACGTCTTATTAATTGGGCCAATAATATATTGCCCTAGGCCATATACTGGGCCTTAACAATGGCAACAGTCGATATGAACAAGAAGTAGTAATTATTTATTCCTACGAATATCATTGGATATGTTATGAGTCCGTAATATTTTTTTTTTGAGTTAGTAATTGACAAACATGGTTTCGATAGGACAAAGAAGTGTTGTATTTGATTCGTGTTGGGTGGGTTGTTGGTCTTGCAGTTGATTTTTTTCTTTTTATAAAAAAATTTCGGAGACCACAATGGGAATCTTCTCAAAGTTCTTTTCTTTCAATTATATATGAAGTTACGAACCTGGGAAATTCTTTTTTTGTGATATTTTTTGTTTACACTTGATCCGATTTACGAATCCGAAGTTGTGCATAGGATGGGAATGGGATAGTGCTGGTAGACGACGAACAGAAAAAGAAAGAAAAAAAAAAAAAAAGAGAGATTCTCATAAATAGTACTACAGACAGTATATTATTTTTATTGGGCGAGCGATAGCAAAACTGAGGAATAGAGACACGTAAGCGTCCGTGTTCGAAGCTTGGTTCGTTCGTTTTTAGCAATGTTGAATAAAATCTGATAAATCCGTGTTTAATTAATGTGTTACTTACATTACATAACAACGCGTCCTCAGCTTTTTGAACCGTGTTATTAAAAAACCAAAAAAAAAGAGAAAAGAAAAAGAGAATGAATTTGACAACCGTGTTGAAAGTTTTATATCTTATGGAACAAATTTGTATGTATTGTATGCTTCAATTTTATTATATGCTAACAAAATTCTTTATACTTAAATTCATATATAGTTGAGATTGACAGCAACAAATAACTCTTTGTCTTAAAATAATGAAAGAGTAAAACGGACAATAAATTAAATAAATATTTTTATTTTATCTTCTTCTAAAAGGGAATCTTGAAACTGATAAGAAAGACAAGAAAAGAAAAGAGTTTAATGCTCGTCGAAGAATTTAAATTAAGAAAAGTCAACATATTCGATCCAGATATATTTTTTTTTAATCTTGTTCATAAACTTTTAAAAAGACCCCTTCTCTAACTTATCCTCACACACCGCATAAACCAAGATCCAAAAAAGAGAGAAAAAACAAGTTGAACGAAAAAAGAAAGAAAGATATATATAGAGAGAGAGAGAGTTGTATATATCATCCTAATCCAATTTGGAGGAGAAAGAAAGAAAGAAAAAGAAGAATGGAGCAGCCGTATGTGTACGCTTACCCACAGGGCACGGGACCTTCAGCTCCTCCCCCTCCACAAGCCGCCGGAGTGATTGTCGATCCAAGGTACTGCGCCCCTTACCCTGTAGATCTGGCCATCGTCCGGAAGATGATGAAGTTAACCGACGGTAACTTCATTATAACGGACGTCAACGGCAACCTGCTATTCAAGGTGAAGGAACCCGTGTTTGGTCTCCACGACAAGAGGATCTTGCTTGATGCTTCTGGAACTCCGGTCGTGACTCTCAGAGAGAAGGTCAAAACTCTCAAACCCTATATCTATATAGTATACTTTATTGATTAATTATTATTATTATTATTATGAATTATAAATTAAAATAAAAAATAAAGAGAAGGAACAGATCGAGCACTATGTACTTAATAATATATACTAATATGATTTAAGATTAGCAGATGGTGAGCATGCATGACAGGTGGCAAGTGTTTAGAGGAGGGAGTACGGAGCAGCGTGATCTGCTGTACACGGTGAAAAGATCGTCGATGCTTCAGCTTAAGACCAAACTAGACGTGTTTTTGGGACACAACAAGGAGGAGAAGAGATGTGATTACCGAGTCAAAGGTAGCTGGCTCGAGCGTTCTTGTGTTGTTTACGCCGGCGAATCTGACGCCATTGTTGCCCAAGTACGTTATTAATTAAACTCTCTCTTTTTTTTTTTTTTTTTTAATTCCTTCATTAAAATGTATCATTTAAGTAATTCATTCTTATAATAGCTTCCTTGTATATATGGTTTGGGAGTAACATGCATACTGTATATGGTTGGTAAAAATGTATTGGCAGATGCACAGGAAGCACACGGTGCAGAGTGTATTCTTGGGAAAAGACAATTTCTCGGTGACTGTCTATCCAAATGTTGATTATGCCTTCATTGCCTCTCTCGTTGTCATCCTCGATGACGTTAACCGTGAAGACCGAGCCGCTTGATCTTCTTTACTATATTCTTCTTATACAAAACAAAACTGTTGTTGTTTATGCTTTGTTTGTTAGTGTGAGAGTGTGTGTGGAGTGGAGTATCGACTATCGAGCATCTCTGTTGTAAAATTATACCCTACCGAAATAACTGTGCTTGTCCTTCATGTTTAATAATTACAACTACTTTTGTTGCTCTCTCACAAGATTAAAATAAATGATGATTGCAAACAAACCTACTAGGACAGACATTCTTTTCTCTCTTGGCATACTACTGATGATGACGACGCTAAAAAGCCCAATCAAACCCAAGCCCATCTCGTGATCGCGACAGATTTTGACCGTAGAAAATAATAAAATACGAAAAAACCACGTGGCAGTAAAGGCTGAAGGAGTGGGACCGGGTGTTACTGAGAAGAGAATACGTGGCCAAACAACAGACAACAGATGATATATGTTTTTTGAACGGACACACGAATTTGTCGGAAAAGCTCCTTTTCTTTTTTGCTCTCTCTATATATATGGCGGGAAGAGTGGACTCGCCATTGTTTTCTTGGACAAAAAAAAAAAAAGAAGGCTTTTGTTTTGCGTGGGATTGTTTTTGGAAAAATGAAGCCTTCTTCTTCTTCTACATCTTCCTCCTCTGGTTCTCGATCGTTTACGCTGTCTTCGGTGACAGTGGCGGTCGACAAAGCCACGAGCGAGCTTCTCCTCACTCCTGATTGGACCATCATCATCGCCATCTGCGACTCCCTCAATTCTAATCTCTGGTACAACCCAATATCTCTTTATCTTGATGAACATTTCCGTATATATGTTCTTTGAGACCCTTTGTTTTGTGTTTGTTATTGTGTCAGGCAATGCAAAGATGCGATCAAAGCTGTCAAGAGAAGATTACACCACAAGACTTCTAAAGTGCAACTACTCACTTTAACGGTACCTACACTGGACTACACTTCTTCTAATTTCATCCTGATATAATATATATATATATATGATCTCTTCTCCTCGGTTTACTACATCTAGCTATTGGAGGCAATGCTTAAAAACTGTGGGGACTTTGTTCATTCTCATATCGCTGAAAAACATCTTCTTGAAGATATGGTCAAGATTGTCAGGAAAAAGGTCGGGATTTTATTTATTTATGAAATTATAGCCTTTTATTTATATTTGTGAGTACTGTTGTTGAAATATTAAATCCGTGGTGTATGAAAGGGTGATTTTGAAGTAAGGAACAAAATATTGATATTGTTGGATACTTGGAATGAAGCGTTCAGTGGAGTTGCTCGGAAACACCCTCACTACAACTGGGCTTACCAAGAGCTTAAAGTAATTTAAAAACTTTCTTTGGAATTATTTTAGTTATCATGCATCATTTTAGATTTTAGCCGCCTCTCTCTCATTTCTTTTCTTTGTTATTCATTCGAGAATCTGCAGAGGTATGGTGTGATATTCCCACAACGTTCCAAAGAAGCACCCCTGATGCTTACAGCACCCCCACCTCGCCCGTCTTCTTCTTCTTCTTCTTCTATGAACTTAATGTCCATTGGTTCGTTTCGAAGGCTCGACGAAACAATGGCTACCGAAATTGAGAGCCTAAGGTTTAGCTCTTCTTCTCAAAACAACCTATCTTTATTCAACCTTTTAACTAGTGATATTTTCACTAATATTGTCTCAGCTTATCAAGCCTTGGATCGATGAGAAACGTGATGGATCTTGTGAACGACATGGTTCAAGCCGTGAATCCTTCTGATAAATCAGTAAGTCTTCATATGCATCACCTCCTCTCAATTATTGAATCTCTAAATAATGCCAATGGTATTTTCATCTTTTATAGGCCTTGAAAGATGAGCTAATCGTTGATCTAGTAGAGCAGTGCAGATCTAACCAGAAGAAATTAATCCAGATGCTCACTACAACTGCGTCTGTCTTCCCCACCTTTACATCGCATCTTCTTCAGCTTTACCTATTCCTTTTTGTTTGCTTTCTTGCTAATAAAACATATTTGTTCTGCTTTCTTCTTGTCAGGGACGAGGATGTTATGGCACGTGGTCTCGAGCTGAATGACTCTTTGCAGGTAGTGCTCGCCAGACATGACGCTATTGCCTCTGGTGTCTCTCTTCCTATGTTGCAGCTCCCAGAGACGAGCTCTGCCCCCAGCACTGGCGATGCTGCTGCTCTTGAGTCTGACTCCGACTCTTCTTCGTCATCCAGCAGCGAAAGTGAAATAGATGAGGGGGATGATACTAAAAATGACTTTATGCAGTTAGCCAAAAGGTTAGTCGTCGTTCACTCAGAAAACTCACGCACTAGTATTTGCGATTCACCAGGTAGTTTACACTAGCATTCTGGAATTTGCAGGCACGCTCTATTAAATGCCGAACACAGCGATGAAGAAGAAGAAACATTGCTTCTAGGCAACATAAATGGAAAAACTGCAGAAACAGAAGCCAAGACAGAGTGCAAAGACCTAGCTTTATTCGACACAACAACAACGGCAACAACCAAGTCAGAGCAGGACATTATTGAACTTCTCAGCCTAACTCTGTCAACAACTGCTCTGCCCTCTCCACAAGCGCAACCCCAAATTCAACCGCAAGCGCAGCCTTCATCGTATTTCACTGACGATAATATTCTTATGAACAGCTACGTTGTCCCCTGGGCACAATCTCAGGCAGATCCGCAAGTCCCAAAAATGGCTCAGTTTGCTCCACCAGTGCCTCAGTTTCAACCATGGCTTCCGCAGCAGCAACAACCGTTTTCATACGGTTATCCACAGCCGCAATGGAGCAATGTCCAAGTAAACAGTAATGACACAACATTGTGGAGCCAGGGTGGCAATGAAAATAAAATCTTCGAGAGAAACTTGCAATACTCAAACTCCTTCCCTGCTAGAGCCGCAGGGACATCAGGTGCTGCTGCTGTAGCTGCGGTGGACGGGCAGCCGATGAGGCCCTATGTTCCTCCATACAAATTATTTGAAGATCTTAACGTCCTCCGGAACGCAGATGGAGGCGTCAGGAGTAGCAAATGACCTTTGTTGGAATCAGGATATCATAGTTCCAAAATACTTCAAATACTCCTACAAATTTACAATAATAACGAATAAGATTTTTGAAAAACTTAATGGGAAAAATGTCATAATAATCCCAAACTTTCAAATTTGGGACGATTAAATCCTCAACTCTGCGAAAGCCATTATAATCCCCAATTTTGTTATTGACTTTGTGTAAAATACCTAACTTTTGTTGACAGAGCCGTTTTAAGCATAGCGTTAAATCTCTATTAGAACCGCATAGACGGGGTTAACAATCCGTCTATGCGGTTCTAACAGAGATTTAATGCTATGCTTAAAACGGCTCAGTCAACAAAAGTTCGGTATTTTACACAAAGTCAATAACAAAGTTGGGGATTATAATGGCTTTCGCAGAGTTGAGGATTTAAACGTCCCAAATTTGAAAGTTTGGGATTATTATGACATTTTTCCCAAAACTTAATACAGTACATGATGATTGACGAGGTTTCAGAGTTAAATTACACAGTGATCTAACTTTCTTTCTATGATTACATATTGTGTCCATTTCTTTACACAATATGAATAGGCAAATAATGACAAAACGGAGAAATACGAAGATTTAAGAAAATACACACATAAAAGACTATTTACAACACATTTACATGAGTAAAATAGAGAGACCCACAAATTTATCTGGCAAAGCCTCCCTCAATTAGTGTTGCTTGCATCTTTTCATCGGAGGCTAAAAAATAATGTTATAAATAAGACCCAATTTTACCTAGTTCTGAAATCACCTTGCACTTACTACTTGTCATGATCTATCTATCTTGGAGGTTGTGTGTTGTGGTGGGTGTATAAGGAGACGAAGGACCCAGCAGCCCCTGCAGCTAGCCAGACCTGATAAGGGTGAAACGCTAGGCAACTGACTGGGCCAATCTTCTGGGCCATGAAAGACGTGTGGTACTTTATGATCCCAAGTTGTTCTCCCTTAAAGCTGAACACTTTAACAATCTGTTTTGCTGAACCGGATTGGAGCATGTCTGTGAACACCGAATGCAGTAAGTGATCCCCTGTGCGCGTCTATCGTCAGGTATGTCTCCTTTGTTCTTCTCAGATCAAGAAACTGAATGTCACCTGCTTGTGACGTGACGCACTCACAATCTGAGACACAACAAACATGTCAAGCATGGAACTAAATGTGATCGACGAGAATCAGAGCTTTGGGAGTGTAACCTTTGCCGGATCGAGTCCAGGCTGAAAGCTGAGACCAACTACTTTTTCCATTCTCTGATGAGGCCGCGTGGTGCACACAAGCCTATACATTGGAGAAGTGAGATTTTTTCCAGTCATAAAATATATATATATATATTTTTTTTTTGTAAGTAAATGTGTCTGAGGCCGGTATGCCATGCTTGTGGCGGTGAGATTCTGAGAGCAGCTGGGAGAGGAGATGCGGGAATCTTCCAGAGGGGAGGAGGCGCAGTCGTCGTCGTAGAGGTGACTGGTGACAAGTACGGTAACGGAAGACTGGGAGACCATCAAGTCTCCTCTTAATGCCATCAATCCAAACGGAAGAAGCCGAAATCAATCAGCAAAGCCGCTGCACCAATGGCCTAGGCAGAGGAGAACCCAGCTCCAAGAGCGTATCAGATTGGAAACCCTAGGCGCACCGGAGAGGGAGGTGGCGGAAACAAAGAGAGACAGACAGCAACCAAACCAAGTGTGGAAGGAGAGATGCGATTCTTTGGGATTCCGTCGCGAGAGAGTCAACAGAAGAAGATGAAAGAGGAAAGTCATCAGTCAATGTGCTTCTCTCCCTTTTATTTACCCACCTGCAAAAAGTCAATAATTTTATGTTTTAAGTTATATAAAAAAAAAAAAAGGAAAACCAACTATTTGCTTTAGGAAACAAAAAAAAG